CCCTGGCAGGCCACAGGAGAGCCACACAGTAAGTGAGTTCTGAAGAGACACCCATTGTGGTTCACATTCACAACCTTTTTGACTACATCCACTGTCCAAAAAAATATTCAAAGTCAATTTACAGAAATTGGGATAGTGTCCATACATTAAAATAAGCAACTAATTATAGTTAAAAATGTAAATAAATACATTTTAGAATTCCCAAAAATTAGGGGTGAATTAAATAAAAATATCTTGATTTTTATTTGATGTAACTTATTCCAAAGTTATTTTTGTCTTATTTTAAATCATTTTAATTAATCTTGAGGCCTAATCTTAGACCTTAAAGTCTAAGTTTGCTGAGGCTCTCTATATAGGGCCCTGGACCCCTATCATTTATGTAAATAATCATTATGTAACTGAGTTAGTAATAAATACTGCTGCTTTAAACTGAAGAGCGTAACTAAATATATTTGCGAGTGAAACGTGAGCTCAAGACCGCAGGTGCTGTAAACTTAGCATCTACATATACATATCTATGGGGCTAAATACCTTAAAGAATACCTCCGGAGTGACGTTAGCAGCTGCTGATAATGTCCTTGATATGACTGACTGATTACATCAAAATTTAGCTATACTTTAATTTTAGTCAAACTTAATTTGTTGCATAGAGAAAAAGAGTGACATTCATTATTAACATCGTCGTCATCATAGGCTATTATTATTGTCATTGGTCACACCTGCGTACTTGCTTTATCACAGAAAAGCCCATTATATTTTATTATTTATGTTCTCATTTATTTATGGTAGCCTAACAAACAACTTATGTTTAGCGAATGATTGAGTCTCAGGAGGATATAAAATAAGAAAGGGCATGCAATAAATAGAAACGAGATCTTAACAGTGAGTAGGCCTACTGCAATACCACTTCATTCAATTCAGATTAAGATTAAAATGTGAAGTCAGACTTTGGAGTAGTATGCCACAGCTGTTGTTTTCACAGGTGTGTGAGTGTAGCGCTCTTCTGAGAGGCGGAGTGTAGGCCTATCCAAGTGCGCATGTCCATTCATATCTTCGGCGCGTTTGTTCAGCATTAGTGCGGGTTTACATATATGCCAGTTCCACAGGACTTTATTCATGTCGTCTTCTTTACGGATCCCAAGAAGCTTCTCCTCATCACTCTTCTGTTTTTCCCCATCATCATCATCTTTATTACCTTTCCCTTTCTTTGTGGGTAGCTGGAACTGTGGAACGATTTCACCACTGATGCTCTCGAAGTATTGCTGTATGCAGACCTTAGCGAAGCTCTTAGCGTGCTCTTTGCACGTTTCGTCAAATAGTTTGCGCTCTGTATCAATGTAGTGCAACCAATATTTGGTTTTAAGAAAAGCGGCTTGTGTAAAACAAGGTCTTATCACCCTTATCAAGAAGGCTGCTATAGTTATTACCATTATGGGAAGCCGTGGCCTAATGGTTAGAGAGTCGGACTCGTAACCCAAAGGTTGCGGGTTCGAGTCTCGTACCGGCAGGGATTGTAGGTGAGGGGAGTGAATGTACAGCGCTCTCCCACTTTCAATACCACGACTGAGGTGCCCTTGAGCAAGGCACCAAACCCCTAACTGCTCCCCAGCAAAAAATGGCTGCCCACTGCTCCGGGTGTGTGTTCACGGTGTGTGTGTGTGTGCACTTTGGATGGGATAAATGCAGAGCACTAATTCCGAGTATGGGTAACCATACTTGGCCACATGTCACGTCACTTTTTTTTTTAAAAGGTCCATCCACAGGCCTAAAGAAAGAAAGAAAAAAACATCGCAACAGATTAATTTAAAAATAAAACAATAGGCTATATAGTTGTAGCTTATATATTTATATATAATATATAGCCTAGTTTTATATAGACAATATATAGTTTCCATATATCAAACTGAATGTCATAGGCCTACATCATTTCTCTTATACTTTGAAATCCCTGGCCTATATAATTTCCCTTTAATAACTAATCCTGGACCTGTCCTGTTTTAGTAACATCTTGTATAATTGTGAAAATCTGTTTTTAAATCGCATGAAACGTACAAACATACTTGTTTCTAGTGCATTAACTGACGTTTCTATAAGCATATGAATAGCCTATATAGACAGGGGTGCACATAAGTGGTACGCAGGTGCGCATGCGCGACCAAAATAAAAAATGCACTGTTTAGTACGTTCTGATAGCGCATTTGCGTACTGGCATGGTTGACAGCTGTTAATGCACAATTACCATTTTAGATCGACAAACTGTAATACTGTAAGATTTCTATTCAAACTGAATAGATAAATAAATCTAGGCTACTCGCTGCCGTTTTCAAAGCACAATGCAAACCTGTGAAATTTCACTGATGCGCTTCAGCAGCGCTAAACCCGGAAGCGCATACACTTACTTGCCGGCAACCCGCCAAAATAAAAGCCTGCTGATTTTAAGTTTGAAAATGATGAAAATTCATTCAGAGAAGTAAATATTAGCATTTTATTTGAAAGTTTAATATAAAATAGTTGTATTTGTATTTAATACTCCCTTTTTATTTTAAAATGTAATAGTATTATTATCACACTTTATTATTTAATTATTTCATTAAAAAAAAAAACTAAATAAATAAAGTGCAACAATATTATCACTACGATTAATTTATTTTTTATAGTTGTATTTAATGGGTTACACTATGTGCAGTGTGAGGACCAAACCAAATCTCCAGGTTCTCTTATGAGAACCAGGCTGAAAAACGTATGTGCACCCATATACTGTAGACCTATTTAATGAGGTAAGCACTAAAACAGTTTATGATTGGTTGTTTGTTGATAAACAACTTTAACTTCGATTCATGATGTATACCTTGACACTATAATTAATAATAAGTTATAACCCTTGCGTAGGCCTAGTCTTTTAAAATTAGCCTACATTTGCAAAATTTTACAAAATGACAAAATTGCGCTTTACCCAGCGTTAATAGTAATAGGCTAGGTAAGATAATTTAGAAAATCCCATTTCATCATTAAGTTTTGAAATAATGTCATTACCTGTGACAAACAGCGAATGTACCTAGTGGCCGCTTCTCTGGAAATAATCTCGTGTCCATCAAATAGGCCTACGTCTTTGCATGGAACCCTTGCTTGTAATTTCAGAAGCTCCTTTTTGGATACGCTTTGATAGCTCTCGTTGAGGAACTCGGATAAATCCGCTGTGGCGCTGAAAGCACAAAGAAAGCTCTTGCCATCCATTAAAGTCACGGATATCCATACAGCCGGAGCGATGAGAGCGCGCTGCGTCATGGAGCTGAACATGTAGCGCAAAACCGCCGGATCTTTCCTGCGTTTTCCAACCGGTCTCTTTCATTCTTCAGTTAACACTGATATGTTGTTGTTAAGTACATATCCAAGTAAAAAGAACCATATTGGCGGAACGGCATTCGGAACGGAACCGATTCCATACGCATAATTGTAGTGTGGAAGACAAGGACAGGTTAACCCAAAAGAGGAATACATATGAGCGCTTGCCAGAGCCATGATCCCACAGATGCCATTCATGAACGACTCTTGGTTGGCTTGCAAAAATTGGACCATAATCCGAAACCTATCCATTTTCAAAAAGCCAATTCACCTTTTAGAGCAAAATAGTAGATCAAAGTTTACCAAACTAGGAAAGTTGAGCATGCAATAATAAATGATAAATCTTATTATAATAATCAAAGACTTGCTCTATCTTGTCAGAGAGAAAAGAAAGCAAGACTGCTAGAGCAGAGTTTAGTCCAAAGTGAGGAAAGGTTCACAAGGTCGCTTTAAAGGGGTTATATGATGCGATTTCAAGTTTTCCTTTCTCTTTGGAGTGTTACAAGCTGATTGTGCATAGATAAGATCCCTGAAGTTGCAAAGACTAAAGTCTCAAAACCAAAGAGATATTCTTTATCAAAGTTAAGACTCTGCCACGCCCCCCTAAAACGGCTCGTTCTAACACGCCCCACATATCTACCTCACTATGTGAAAATATTTGGAGGAGGTAATTCTGACTTTGCTATGACAATCTGGCGCTTCTGAATCAGCTACTGTTTTGTTATTAGTTTAAGTATTTGCTATTGACTGTTCAAATGTGGAGTTTTGCGCATTGTGTGTGTGTGTGTGTGTGAGAGAGAGAGAGAGAGAGAGAGCGCGTGAGAGAGAGAGAGAGCGTGAGAGCACGAGAGAGAGAGAGGGAGTGACAGAGAGAGAGAGGGGGTCACATCACAGTGGAGTCAGCTGTCTTAACCGTGGCTTGTGTACACATACCAGCTTCATCATTGTGTCTGTCATGCGACTCTGTTCCCCTTTTGGGCTTGAACTGATGGTAAAACTGACATTATTTACTGTCTTAACATTTATTTTGAAAGATGAAGCTCGCGATTATGGTAAGGGGCGTTACATTTCCGACGAGTGCTTGCGGTGTTCGGCCAATCACAATGCACTGGGTCAACTGGCCAATCAGAGCAGACTGCGCTTGTCGGAAGGAGGGGCTTTGTAGAAAACGAAGCGTTTGAGAGAGGCGGGGCATAGAGGACCTACAATAATGTACAGTATTTGAAAAATAATGTGTTTTTTGAACATTAAAGCATGTCAACATATTCTGTTACACCAAATACACCAAATAATGATCTTTAAAAAAGCATCATATGACCCCTTTAATGCATGGATGCACATGAGTAACAGGCCCCTCCTTTAAAGTCTCTAACACATCCTCAACTAAATAGTTGGGTGTGGTTTTTGTCCTGGCATTGTCCAGTGCTTAAATTGTTCACTGTCAAGCATAATACATAACTTCAAGACAAAATCTCTCTTACTCATAAGGTGTATTGAAGGTAAAAGTACATTTCAAAACATGGACAATACAAACACAGAACGCAGTGGTCTAACTGCCATGCAGCTAAGATGGTATTTTTATTACTTAATACTATTAATAAATATACATATACACAATATATACAGACTACTACATACACATGTTTTCAGGTGTTTTGCATACAAGCCATATCCATGAGGTTGTTGTGTATTGTGTGGAAAGAGACATGCAAAAATACACAAACTAAATCCCAGCATATTCAAATGTACCAGCATGCAAGCACTTGAGGAAGGTTAAAACAAAGCTTTCTGAATTAACAATAATCTGATTGTAACATTACAATTAAAAATGTTTGGGTTCTACATTCATACTAAATATGCAGATGAAACATTCTCCATCCAGGCATCTTCGCCTCAGAATCGTATGGGGGCCTGAATTATACATCCAATGCACCAATGTGCAAGCTTTTTAGGGTTTTGCTTCTGAATTAACATTAATTAGCCAATTAGTTCTCAAGTTTTACACTTCAGAGAATAATGCCTTTCCATTGTGATCTTCCCAAGTGATGCATACTTTGGGCTTATAGGCCATCTTGGTCACATCCAGTTCTGGTTTGCACTCGTACCAGGTTTGCAGCAAATTATCCACCTGATCTTGTCTGGTTATACCATGCAGACGCTCCTCTTCTTCCTCTTCATATTCATTAGGGATTGTACTGGGTCTGAGTGCATTTGAAAGGGGCATTCTCACAGTCACGTCTTCTCGCATACTCTCAAAGAACTGCACCACACATTTTCTGGCAAAATCTCTGGCATGAAGGACACAGGTCTCATCGAAGAGCTTCTGCTCAATGTCCAGGTAATTGCTCCAGTAGCGTGTCTGCAGAAAAGTGGCGTGATTGAAGCAAGGCTTGAGGACACGGCCTACAGCGCCCAAAAAAATGAAGAAAAGGAGGATTGACCAGCCTATTGCCTTAGAGAAAAAGATAAATTGTACAAGAATAGATGAATCATCTAGTTATGCAAAGCATGAAAGGATTTTAACCACCTACAGATTTGCTAAAGGTCTGCTCCTGTCAACTTTGTACAGCTCAATCTTACTTAGCAGCTATCAAGTCAAAAATGACATTGACATCACAGTTCACTTGCCTAAAGACAATGTAAGCACTGAAAAAAAAATGCACAAAAAAATGTGAGAAAACCCATTCACCTGAGAGTAACACCGCACATAGCGTGAGACAGCTTTCCGAAAACTGCTGTTTTTGAAGATAACATCTTCTTTGCAAGGCACCTTAGCCATGATCTTGATCAGTTCTAGGCCAGTGCTGTTTGGTATTCCTGTGAAATATTTAGGGTTCACATTCATACTAAATGCACAGATGAAACATTTTCCATCCAAGAGTGTCATCAGAATCCAGACCATGGGGGCCAGAAGGGCCCGTTGCAACATTGATGACAGCAAAAATCTGGGAAAAGAATAATATACATATTTTTATATGATTAATATTAATAATAAATTAGTATTATTAATATTATTTAGCTTCAAACTTACTTTACCACTGCTGGATTTTTTGTCCTGTTGCCCAGGGGTCTGACCCACTCTTCCATCAGCACCCCAGTATGACGACTGACTAACACTCCCAAAAGGAACAATATAATTGGAGGAACTAACATGACCCCCAGTGCGTACATCTTATTGTATTGCGGTAAACAGGGGCAGTTGAAATCAAAACTTGTATACAGCTTGACGCTTATCAGTGACAATATTATACAGATACCATTAGAGATAGACTCAGAATTTGACTGGAAATATTGCAGAACCAACTTTAAACGATCCATTAATTAGTTTACGTTGTAGCTATAAGAGGCTGCAGATGTGTCAAACGTAGGCTACTTATCTGATAACGACCGCCAAATACGTTGTTGTGCAATCTGCGCTGATCAAGTCTGCAAAAAAGACAAACAAAAAAAAAAAAACTCAACTGAGAAATGGTTAATTTTATTTAAAAGTAATTATATGGATCACGTCGTGGAGACGAAAGTTTCACAAAAATTAACGCATCTCGCAGGCTCTGCGTGCTGAAGTGTGATAGGTTCACGTGTAGAGCGCGCGCACCTGCTTCATTTGGCCACACCCAAATGTGCGCACGAATACCTGACTTTAAAGCTATTTAAAACAGGGTTGCTTTCTTCCCTTTCAATAGTCGGATGGTTTAAAATACGCTATTTCATATTTACATTTTTCATATTTTTCCCGCGACCGGACAGGCTAAGGAGAACGGATGGATATTTTTCTCAATAATTACCGCATTGCGTGACCCTCAGGAAAATAACCTTAAAAAGAAAGCTCAAAATGATCCTACAAACGGATGATTGCAACGGGGGTTAATTGACAAACTCTTTCATATCACAGTATTGTAGGTGTATTGTGTATCTGGCTGAACTTTGGTGAGGTAGCGACCTCATGTGGGTCCTTAGTCACTGCGCAGCTGCACATTCTTAAAAGGAGCCTAGAAACAAAACAGCGTAAAGGCCTTGTCGAAAAACCACATTTGAATACCGTCGTTTGTAGATATTACTGTCTTCGCCATATATAACATAGTTTTGATTCTTTAACAGGGCTATACATATATTGAAGCCTTTTTATTTTGTAATTGCATGCACATCCATAATTAACACTATAGGCATATAATATTCACTACAAGGCCTATAAATTGTGAAAACTTCAATACTTTTTTTCCTCACGTCGAGATAAAAAGTTAATGTTTTCACCACCCCCGGAGACGGAGTGCGTGTGACATATGATGTGACTCAAGAGCGGGACTGACCCACGTGCTTTTTATGGAGGAGCGAAAAGGGCCCCATTGGTCACTTCCTGGATGTGAGAGCAGATGAGGAAACAGAGGAGTAACGGTATTGAAGCGCTTTCTCTTGTGTCGGTTCAGTATCGTTCTGAAACAATGAACAACGCTGGACTTTAACTCTTGGATTACAGTGTAAGTTACTATTCTGTTCTTGTTCTAAAAGAACACGCTGCGCGAGCAGTAACCATCTGCTCTTTCATAGATTATTCAACAAGAGACCGTAACAGCTGTGATTAAAATAAAAAAAACAAGAGTTTTGTAAACCACAGGAGTTTTGTAAAACATCTTAAGACGTCAAAAAGAAAATACGCAATTGTGTTGATTAAAAAGAGAAGTTGTTAGATGCTCTGGCTCGTTGGTTTATTGCGTCACCGCCCTCTACAGTTTGCTGATAAACTTACCATTGACTTGAATCATTTCAGGCACGCGTTAACAAGTGTTTCTTCTGTAATAGTGTCTAACTATTTGTAGATTTCTCTCTGTTTAATGAGTAAATTGTTGTTGTCTAAACTCCGCCCTTTAGTGTTTGAAGAATGTTCGAAACTTTGCAGCGCCACACACATTTCCTGGAACTCAACATTATTAGTCAACTACCTATCATTATGTGCTCTATTTGAAAACTATTTTTTTGTTATTTTGTGTTGTTTTACTTATGCAGTTCCACATAGACGGTCATTTGTTTTTTTGTACACAAAAAAAAAAAAAGGGCCTAATTTTTTTTTTAATTAGCCAAAATTGAGATCAAATTAAAATTTGAGCCATTTTATTATTTTCTTTTTATTCTCTATGTTATGACAAATTCAGCGGAAAATGAGACTGAAGGGGATACTTGCTTGCCTTCTAACCATGGTGTATAAAGAGTCCAAATAAATGCCACAATTGATAAAAAAAATTTGACAAGTAGTCCTACATTTTTACTACTATGAATTGAATATCACTTGAAACGACTGACAAAATTTGTGTCTCTAATGCTTTAAAAAATCATGGGATACCAAAGTGTACCTTATTCATGGAATGTGCCAGTAGCTTGCAGATTGTATAAATATGGAATTTTATCTGCCTCATTCCAAGAATCACTCAGACTCCAAGTGCCACACTATAAATAAACCAATTACATAACGTCCTCCTCAGTGTATATGAGGTTCCTTCCTAAGATTCAGTTAAGGCAAAATGACAAAATACTTTGAACAGAGATGAGATGGTACCACTTTTTTTCTTTTTACCCAGACCTCAAGATAAGAGATAAAAAGTCATTAAACAGATTTTTTTCCCCCTGATATAGATTTTTTTTTTTTAAACATCTCTTGTTTTCAGTGGATACTTTTATCTTTAAACAGTTCTGCTTCATGTAATTTATGACATTTAACTTGGGTTATCTGACATCCTTCCCCAGTGCAGGACAGTCCTTTGTATTACAGTTGACAAATAACTACTCTGAAGAATGACATGTTTTCACAAAAGGTAGAAGTTGTGTTTCCTTTCAAGAAGCTCACATTAATCCAGAAATGTGTGTTTTCCCAGACTCACAGTGAAGAATGCAAGGTGCTATTACGCGGGTTTGCATGGTGGTAGTAGCCGCTATCCTCAACCACCCGCTGCTCTTCCCTAATGAGAACACCACCATCCCTGAGCAAGATGATGAGCTCCTGACCCGGATGAAGGAGCACCAGGAGAAGCTGGAGGCCGAACAGAAGCGCCTGGAACAGGAGATCTCTCAAACAGAAACAGCTCTGATTGGTGATCAGGACAGTTACAGTTGGTACTTTTGGAGCGCTCTCTGCCTAGTCATTTTCTTCACAATTGAGGTGTGCAGGCAGGATATGATCCCTACTGAAATGCCAGACCCCATGGAAGATGAAGTTGGAGATTCCAGTGCCGAATATCTCAGCGCTAAGACTGTAGTCCTAGATAAAGGGGTCCTAAGTAACTTCTGCAAGACCCGCTTCCATCCTTTCATCCACGAGAGCGGGAGAGTGCAAGAGTTTATCGAGGGCTTTGCAGATGATCTGCTCGAGGCTTTGAGAAGTGTTAGCGATCGAGACTCTGAGCTGGAAGTCGAGGACTTTGTTGGAATAGGCAATATGTTTGAGTTCTGGAGAGCGTCTAAACCTCCTACATGTGACCTCATTGTGCCTTTTGCTCCTCCACGGTCATTCAGGTTCCAGTTTCAGCTCTGGTGCGACCCGTCCACTGAAATCCCACTGGACTTGCAAGGATGTGGAAGGATTAAACTAATAAAACCAGGTGGGAATGGCACAGACTGTGTTTGTGCCTCAACCAATCTCGGTGATGATATGCTGTGTCTGCTTCACAACAGAAATGAGTATGAAAAGCTTGAGGAACACACTTTGGTGGAGCTCCTCTGTGCAAAGAACACCTCATATTTGTCGAAAGATCAGATCATGACATGGTTCCAGATCTTGGTGAGCAAAGCATGGGGCCAGATCTCTCATAAATACGATTTTGAGCTGGGGTTTCGGAACCTGGACTTCCCTGGAGCCCTGAAAATCAGATTTAGGTCTGGAAAGACTGTCGTTCTTAACATTACCCCTGCTGTTCAGTTTGAGGACACGGATGCTTACCTCATCTCTCATTTCCCATCTGACATTAGCAACTCCTCAGACACTCACTGGAAACTCTCACTAACTGTTTATGAAAAGAACCTGCTTAAACATCTAGCAAAACAACTTCCTACAAATTCGTGTCATGTTCACTGTCTTCAGATAGTTTCTTTCTTGCACAAAAAACAGACAGCTTTGACTGGGAGAAGCGCCTTTTCTAATTACCATATAAAGACGGCGCTTTTGCATCTGTTGTTGAGTAAACGTCCTGCGATGTGGCAGCCACAGAATCTCGATCACAGATTACGAGATCTACTCGGCTTCCTTCAGCAAAGCATGGAGGAAAAGAGACTCTATCACGTTGTTGTCGGGAACCCTCGCATCCCAGCTGAAATTCTGGTTCCCAAAATAATCCGTACTGCAGAGCCGATAAACCTGTTTAGGCCTCTTGTGTTGCAGAGGCATGTATATGCCAAAATGGAAGAGCATTTTCAAGAGATGGTCAGAAATACCTCTGTGCTTGTTCAAGAATATACCCCACACTTGTCTAACGGTTATGTGAGACATTAGCTTAGCAGACCAGACGTAGACATACTCACCGATCTGGCTTTGAGTGCAGGGGATTTCTACAGACTAATTACATAATGCCGTTTTGCACCTTAAATGCAAACGACATGTTTAGCACTGACTGGTACTGATGCTATGATGATATTTGGGTGTTTCTTCAACTATGGGCATTTGTTTTTCTAATGCCTGTTATATATATCTTTTTTTTGTTTTACTCTTGTCCCAGACTGACACTTTCAATCTTCAAATATAAAATCCATCATAAAAAATATTAATCTTTACATTTTTTAATTATCACAACAAAGTGAATTATACACAAACCATTTCAATATTTATTTTGCCAAAATGAATAAACTGTTTATATAAATTTGTACACATTACAACTTTTCCTTAGTTTCGGTGTCGTATTCATGACAATAAACAAACTTTGCGTCTAATTGTAATAATATTAAAAATCAAGTTTATAGCAAAAGTGTCAGTGTAGAGCATTCTGGAGTTGAAATAAGATGTAATGTGTTAAGAAAATCAAGTTAAGTATCGCTTAAGAACAGTTATTTTATCATGCATCATTTCAAGCTGTAATTCTGTTAAAACAGGCAAAAAGTGAAAACAAGTGTGTATTTAAAATATCTTAAATGCTTGCTGTGAAATTGTCCTTAGCAAGACAAAGATTTTCTAAATGTAATTTCCACCACAGAATGTTAACAAACACAATACATAATTAGAGAGTGAAATGACGTTGCTGCTATAAAATAATAGGATTTTAAGGAATTTTATTTTTCCACTGGGCCAAAGGTGCCCATGGTTGAAAAAACACTCACTTGCTATTCATCATCATTCTGGCAGCTGATTCAGGATCTTTGAACCATGAAGTTATTGTAAATGATGTAATATCATGTTAAGGATATCATTCTGTAACATTATCAGAGT